AAGGAAGTATAATTTGGGCTGACCTGAGCATGAAGTGTTACAGACCATATTAGGCCAAAATGGAGGCATAGAGTGATTTTAGAGATTCTGGAATGACCCAAGACCAATTGAGCCAGGAAATGTAACTGAACTTCCAGCAGAGCTAGCACTGTAATACAGCCCAAATACAGAGTCAGAGAGGCTGCCCTACTTGTAATTCTAGAGGCTGTAAATTCTGAGAAATCCAAACATGGGGAAAAAATATCAAAGAGCCTAAGAATCATTGTAAATGCTAACACTTGTTTTCCATGTATGATCCATGTCAAAAAGGATTTCATTTATTGATTAAAGCAATGGAGTTTAGGTATAGGATTTGGGTGGATTTACAATCATAAAAGAGTAGACTGCAGTAAAAATTAGAGCAAGCTGTCGGAAATAAAAAGGAAAATCAAGTATTGTGAGTGAGTCCATTACAAGGGCAAAGAGGCCCTGGAGATAATGTAAGAGGGAGCAGAGTCTACAGGAGTGAGACCATATGGTTCCTTAGAGATTGTTTGACAACAAAGGGCACTCAAGGATCAAAGGAATACAGCAATCCAAGCTGGTTTAGTGGATCCTGCAGTAAGGATGAAGATTTAATTCCAAGTCCATCAAACAAGCTGCAGAAGACATTATGACCTGTAGTGTTAGGACGCCCTGGGATAGCACATGCAGGTGGCTCTGATATAAGGCAGCATTTCTTCTGAGTCTCTTAGCCTACATCCATTTTCCAGAGGGACTAATCGGGGTTGCTAAATTTCCCCTCTCCTTTATAGATTTTACGATTCCATTTTTTTTATCATATTTATATAACTTCAAGATCCTTAAGGGCTCTCAGAGTGGCATCAGATGACCCATATTCATGTGACATTGGCCCTATTTCATCAGGGATTTGTATTTGGACCAGGGTAAAGCTGGCCTCATACCCTTTTCTTGACAGGGGGCGGGATGTTCAAAAGTTGTTGTTCTGTATCCATCCACATGACTGCTGCTACTTTGGAAGAAAGTTCAGGGAATATCATTTTTTAAAATTTGTGGGAAAGAACATAGGTCTCCTTCCACTTGATCTTTGGGTCTCAAATCTCAGATTGTGTTACTCTTAGCTCCCAGGTGCAGGCTCCATGAGGATTCTTGAGGACTTCAAAAGCAGCATCAGTTAGTCCTCAGCTTAATGCGGGCAGTTAGGGGCATTCTTCCATCAGATGCCATCCAATAGAAGATTTTGTGATTTAAAAAATATTCTTTATCTGCACTGCCCAGTACGGTAGGCACTAGTCACATATAGTTGTTAAACCTTTGAAATGTGATTAGTAAGACTAAGGAAGTAAAATGTTAATTTAAAGTAAATTTAAATTTAATGACCATGTCTGGACTGCCTACATTAGTGGTTTAAAGGTTTGCTCTTCCCTTAATTGTGGTAATTATAAAATACAAATAAAATTGATAAAAGTCTGTTCCATTCTTTAAAATAGAGATACTTAGTTGTGGTCAGAAAGAGGTGAGGCAGAATCCAAATCCTGCACTTAGTGAGTCAGAAAGAGAATCCTGCATACAAAAGAACTGAAGAAAAATGAATTCTCCTAGATTTATGAGGATCCACCTTTATGTACATCATGTCTCATTAGAAGTTTGACAACCACTGTTTGAGAATCACTGGGATAGAAACTTTTAGGGCCCTTTCAGCTCTACATTATATGACATCTGTGACTTATTGCTAGGATGATGAGGACAATATCATGGTTAACATTGCATAATATTCTGCAATGGGGGTCTGAAGGATAAACTGCATGAGGCAGAGGTTCTACTGTTGGAAATACATGGGGTGAGGAGGTACAGAAATGAGTACAAACCCTGCTCAGAAGATGATGATTGATAGATTCATTTAGCTAGAGGCTCTGTTTCATGTACAGGATAATGGGGAGGGATAGAGTGGTAAGACAGAAGAAATTACATGTTTTTTAAAGAACCTTGAAAAAAATATTGTAAAAATATAATTTAATTCTATAGGAAATTGGGATTCATTTGTGCCACGGGGTGGATGATCAGGAGAAAAGAATTGAGAATGATATGGTTGGAAATAAGGAGTACCTTGGAGCTATTTCAGTAGTTCCGGAAATAAAAATACAAACCAGGGCCATGGCAATGAGTCCAGAAAGGGACAGCTATGTAAGAGGGAGAACGTAAAATTGCAAAGCCAATTCCATCACCAGATGATAAAATGAACCATTAGTGAATTGTGCTCAGTAATAAACAAGACATTTCCTGTCTGTATAAAGGGTTTGTGAGGCTGGGAGCCATACCTGGTTCATCTGAGTCTTCTTAGAGCATAATTCAATCGATGAAGTGAGTGAAGTTTAAAACAGTGATGAGTCACATACTTGTGTTTTACCCTCCTGAGTTGATCCCCGACAAGGGTCCTTCTGCCCAGTGTCATTCGAGCCAGTGGAAGAAACCAAATTCAGTTCAGAAGCAAAGGAAAGCTTCATTCTCTGATCAGAGAATGGAGAGGCACAAGCTCACTCTGGAACACAAGCTCTCCCTGGCAGGCTGTGGGCAGGGCTGGTTTATAGGGCTCTCCTCAGCGGGTGGGGAGGGGGCAGAGTTCTCGCGGGACTGGCAGAGCTGCGCTCAGTGCCGCTGCCGTCTTGAATTGCGGTGTTGGTGGCAGCGCTCCTGCACACGGTTCCTGAGCAGAAGTACGGGGGCAGCCGTTCTGCACTAGGAACTCTGGTCTGAAGGGCTGGGGTGGGGCAAGGCCCCTGCATGCGGCCCACTATGAGGAAGGGAAACCAGACTAAGCCCAAAAGAAAAGGAAAAAAACGGTTGGACTTTATTTTATTGCCCAGATTCCCTGCGAATTGTTAATGGACTTTGCCGGGGACAGTTGTGCTCTGTGTGTGTGTGTGTGTGTGTGTGTGTGTGTTTTCCAATAGGAGGGCATTTATTTGCTTCCTTGGATAATTTCTTTGAACTACTCAATCTTTTAGTATTTGCATAAAGACTTTAGTACTGTTTATCTTTTTCTTTTAGAAAAGCAGGGGAGGTCGCTCTCGCTCTGTGGCGCTCACCTTCTGAGATGGTCCGCACTCTGTCTGTGGAGGGTGTGTGTCCTAAGCCGTTTTCCCTCTGAGTGAGGCAGACTGCTCTCTGTCTACGGAGTGTGTATCTCTCTAAATAAACTTGCTTTCACTTAAAAAAAAAAGAAAGAAAAGTGGGAGAAAAGAGTTTATATTTGTTTATAAATGGTAAGTTGGGGGTGGATTCTAGTAGAGATCAATGGGTCACTCTAAAAAAATGCCATAATCTTAATGAAATGAGAATTATTGCTCTTGGATTTCCATTGTTTTACTTGGCCACATTAAGTGGTC